ATAAAACTGGTTTATTCTTTCCGAATACAACTTTACCGATACACTCAACTTCAACAATCGCGCTAAACAAACGCTATAACAACGAACGTGCTCAATAATACTTCTGACTGCAGATCAATTACTCACTGTCTACACACACATTACATTCCCCTCTTTTATATACCAGCCTACCCTATATCTAGTAATTACTATAGCATTCGCCAAAGTACAGGATAGTTCTAGAAACGTGGCGTCACAGTGGTCATGTGACTTGCTGACGCAACAATTCTTTCCGGGGAACTTCAGCAATACAAGTCATTTCTTAATTAAACTAGTTTATTCTTTCTTGATACAACTTTTTGTAATACACAGAATTTCCACAGTGACTTTAAACTTAACAACCTTTATAACACACGCTATAAATCACAGTGATTCACAAACTTTACTTACGTGCCTACTGTTCGCTTGACTCAATTAATTTCTTCAATCGGGCTGGTTTTTCTCGCCAGACTTATATACTAAAAAAAGAGGGCGCCTCGAACAAACTAGAGTTGCCAGGAAAATTCATGATCCTTCGAGAAACTCCAGCCCGCATGCTCCCAGCGTCTCGTGACTTCCGATGTCGTAACAATATCATTTTTTTTTATTATGGTGCATTTAAACATTTATTTCTTACCTATATTTTTCCCCTCTCTTTTTTACACGCTAGGTAAAAGATTATATTTCATTCAAATCAATTTATAGATAAATTTCATTAATAGCGCTAAATCTATGTTTTTAAGGAAGACAATAATGCTACCCGTGCCAATCGAAAAGTCGGGGATATTTCTTCAATCACTTACGCGTGTACACGGAATCATTCCAAAAACTATTCGGAGAGAGAGGGGAGAGGAAGCACACACAAACTTTATTCCCAGGATCCATGTTGGCTCTCAGCGGCCCTGATGTTACCACGTCAAATTTAGCTGAAGCTAAATTAAGTGCACCTTCCCGAAAGATTAGTGATTGCGACCTTTCACGGGTGTCACCAATCACGATGAAAATAATATAAGTGACTTAAAAAATAAAAACAAAAGAGGTGACGTAAGCTAGAATTTTACCACACTTTAATATATATTTGTAATATATTAAACATTCTATCGTAATGATATGAAAGCCACAGAAAACTAAGAGTAAAGAAACTTCACTTCCAGAATATAAAAAAACACTTCCTATGTAACTTAGATATCCATATTATACATTGTTTGTTTGTAATTAAGCACAAAGCTACACAATGGGCTATCTGTGCTCTGCCCACCACGGATTCTAGCGTTGTAAGTCCGCACACATACCGCTGTGCCAATTTTACACTAAAAATTGTTATATACATATATATAAAGATGTTTATCAACAGTTAACCCGATACGCTGCCTTAATTTTTAGTGTTTTTTTTCATGCGTTAACCCAGTAAATATGTCTATACTTCTTGTAGTATTTTACACTTGCGATTTCGAGGTTTTAAGAAATAAAAAAATACTTTGTTTTTCTTTGGATCCCAATGTTTCTCCTGTAGTTAACATGTTCTCAATCACAATAAAACTTGCTGTACTGCTTAATTTGAATTAAGAAACTGGTTCATCTAACACTGAAGATTCAAGGAAAGTTGAGAATGATTTCGGCATCATCGAATAACAATTGCACATAAATCAGTTTAAGATTGAAGCAATGGTCTTACCGTCGAGTTTTCGCAATACTTTGCTGTATATCGAGGTTTACAAAAACTGTAATTTAATAAGAATTCTAAAATTGAGGGCCTATACTTTAACTTATGTTCCATACGAGATTTTTGAGCATAGAGACGATTAGACTTAGATATTATGCATTTTAAAAGAAAAATAACTGCTTGACACCTCCCGAATAATTTCTAGTTGATTAAACCATATTCAACAAGTCTAAATGCAAAAGCCTAGACAAACTTCTCTCAAATTATAGTTATATATTGCTATATGTTAATTCTTGCCTGTGCTATTATGTAGGGATGGTGCAACTGCCATCTCTACTATTTTGTTTGCATTGTATCTGAAGGATTAATATTAGCTATCCCCACATTTACTTCCATTTTTGAAAAGTTTTTTCTTTACTTGTTCACATTAGAACTCATGGTTATGATAAAATATTTAACATATGTACGAACATGAATGTTATTTGTTTTTTCATATTGATTCAGAAAGCATTGCATTGCTTAGAAAATATATTACTGGAAAGTAAGACATTTTCTCTGCTTGAGGTGACCGAAATTTTCAGGTGGGAAATAATTTTTTAAAAAATAGATTAAAGTTTTGGCAATGATGTCTCCCCTATTTTATGTGAATTATTTAAGTTCAATTTTGAAATGATGATGTTTAACACGTCTGACGTGAAACCTTTAGTGTGGTTAGGGCATGTAGATTACACGTTTTTAGTATGGCGGAATGACATTGGGACTTAATTAGAATTTGAAAAACATATTAATTCAATCAGTCCTACCATCAGCTTTACATCAGATATGGAAAAGAGGGTCAGCTAAAAGTGTTTAGATATGATCGTCAAACAGGACAAAAGTCGACTCTCAGCTTCTAATTATAGAAAGTCATTTTCTATAGCGGTACCTCCACAGATCGTGTCACCCACGGACACAAAAACTATTAGCCTTTTCCACATGCGTGTTTAGAACCTTTAAAATATGCACTTTTGATTGTGATGTGAAAACAGTGTTAAATTTCTTAAAACACGTAGCCAAAGATAGAGGATATGTATACTCGAAATTATTGATAGATTATATCATAAACATATCAATAAATTAAGAATGTTAACATGTAAAAGGTTAGAAGGAAAATCTACAGTAGATAACATGAGTTTACCATATGTTCAAGGCTTATCTATAAAAATAGGTAATATAATGAAAAAATACATAGAATGTAGTGTAACATTCTCTCCTAGTTCTAAATTAGTCTCACGAGTACAAAAGACAAAATAGAAGAAATTGATAAACGTGGGATTTATAAAATTCTTTGTATATCTGTGGTCAAGTTTACACTGGCAAAACATGTAGAAATTTAAAATGCAGGTTCAAGGAACATAAAAACGCGGTAGAAAAATATAAGGTGAATGAATCGGTATTAACAGAACATGTGGTGAAAACATCTCATGTTATAGACTGGAACAATACCAATTTAATAAAACATGTAGAATTTAAAATAAAACTAAATACAAGAGAAACTATTGAAATTGTAAAAAAACAAAAATATTATATTAAACAAGGAAATTGGTCCAGGTATGGAAATAATAAAGTAGTGGACAGATGAGTTATAACTCTGGATAGTTTGAGTCTAGATGGCGTTTTAATATGCAAATGATTATGTAGGTATACAAGTCCCAAATTTACTTGTACTGTTGCTCCTGAATATGGTGTTATAAAGACACCGAAACGTATGTAGTCTTTTAGAGCAAGTCCCTGTTTTTAATAATTATTTATTGTGTAACATTTTAACATTGTATTGCTTTTAATTGGAAATGTATGTTTGAATGTTGTTAATCTGTGTCTTACAAATATATAACAATGTTCTGGGCAAACAATCCAATAGACCACATACACTGTATCTAGGTTCCTATGTTTTAGCATGTTACTGTTTACACATACAATACTTCAGTTATCTTGCAGATAAGATCCTTATTAGTTTTTATTTTTGCAAAACGCTTTAAGATCTTTTGTCTTACTGAAGTAAAAAGTACCCAATCTGAATATATTTACATGTATTAACTTCAAAATGATGTTCACAAAAAAACTTTTAGTAATACATTCCAAAACCACCCAGTTTCTGAATTACAGTTTTTATTGCTATTTATATCAGTTTTCTCTATTATCCTCAATTCTAAAATCGCTTATTCTCCAACAGATGACAGCAATTATAACTTGTTCAGTTGATTTCCAAACACTGACTTCAACAAACAAGCTAATGACATTTTCTAAAACAGCTGATGGTATATAGAAGTTTTTGTTGCAACAAAAATACAGGTATTAATTTTAAAAAAATGGAAATTTATTTTTACAGCACCTCTTGAACATTGTAGAACTACATAATTTATTTCTCCCTAGTGTTTCTCCCAACATTTCTTTGTAGCAAAATATTTGACTTGGCTTTAGTTGAATTTATTTGTGCATAAAACAATCTAAAGATTTGCATGTAATGAACAATTCAGTACCATCTGGATAACAAATAAAAACCCATGTAATTTTAGATAACTTTTTTTAATGTAATTATTATAAATGCAAAATAGGATTATTAGGATAAGAATAACAATCCAATAACAATCTTTATGGCTTGTTGTTCCACAATTTATTTTCCATTGGCTGTAATATACACAGCAGATTCTAAATTCTTCTCCACCAGGCCCAAAATACTTTATTAAACCAAGATCTTATTCATGAAAGTCTCTGGTGCAAGTCTTTGGCTGAAAACCAACCTACATGGTTTAAACTCATAAATATCTGACATCAAAGCTCAATTAAAGGGGTATAAAATAAATTTGTTTAAAAAATCTTCTCTGTTGAAGACTTTTTACAAAAGATTAATAATATTTCATCAACATTTACCAAAGGCTTGTACCAAAAACTGCATCCTGAAAGTTATGGTTACTTGTCTTTGAACAAACATGGGTGAAAACTTCCATGGTTATTCATTTAAAATTCAAGATCTATTTAAAGTAAAACCAATTATACAATTGAAGTTCAACTTGTTGAAAAATGGAAGTATTTTGAAACTTTATGTTTTATATAAAAATATGAGCCCACAACCATTGATACACTAGACAGACTTTTGCTGGGTCTCGTGTGGATATCTTCTTGTCCCTCTGTAAAAATAAGGCGCAACCTGTTGCATACAGTAATCAAGAAGCAAGTGATCAAGTCTTTATTGTGGAGGCCAACAACAGTTTCTGGAATTCCAAAGTATGTTGGTCCACATCATCATGATCACAGCAAACTAAAACAATAATCAGTTTACAAGTCATCCAGGTCAAAGTCATCAAGGCCATCAGTGAGCTCTAGAACTTGGAAGTCTACTCTGTATCTTAGAAGTCCTACAGAGGAACATAAAAAACTGAAAATGCAGTTTTATACCTTCATACGGACGTAACTAAGTAACTTATTGTGATGTTAAAAAGCAAAAAAAAACTTGACGAAAAACAGCTAAGCATTTAACAATACACTATTTAAAATACATAAATATCATTGTGTAATTATTCAACCCTCAAACTGCAAGTCAATCATACAGAAAGTAGTGACTATTTTGGTCATTACCACATACAACAAACAATAAAGAGCATCAAACTGCCTTTTAACAATAATTTAATATTAGAGATTTTGAAAAATACAAATTTTTTTCTGATTGATTCACCTCTTGCAGAAAATGAATTTTTCCATCAAGATTTTGTTGAAAGCCCATTGCTTTTAAATAGTTTACCTATATGTTTTTAGTACTAAACTAGTCAATATACATCGAGAGGAAAGTCCTGTTTATCCTAGTCTCAGTTCCAAGCACAAGATTGAAAGGTGATGTTTCTATGAAACTAGTCAATATACACCGAGAGGAAAGTCCTGTTTATCCTAGTCTCAGTTGCAAGCACAAGATTGAAAGGTGATGTTTGTATGAAATGTAAACATTCTGAGAGCAGTTTTGATGGGGGTTTTCTGTAGAAATTAAAGTAATCAAAGAGGTCATCCAAAAGTGTCAGAATTCAATCAAAAGAAGACATGAAAAATTTCAATGCAAAAAGAATAGTATGAATAAGATACTTTGTTCATCTCATTGTAACCACTTTCATTGTCTTAGATTGTTCAGTAGTGATAGATTAAGATACAACTGATCAGATCTGAACCAATGAGTCAAGAAATAAATGAAGAACATTTATTGTTGTTTCTACTAAGTGCACAATATGTTCTAGATATCGAGGTCAAGGTCAAAATGGTATAGCCCTAAACAAGCAAAAGTGGCTTTGCTTTGGGAATACTTTTCATCAATACCAAAACAATGCCTTGGAAGTTTCATTGCATTTTCTGAAGCAAGAGATCCAACTCAAAACTTGCACAAAGTTATATACGAGGAACATTTTTATTCAAAAGTTGCCATCAAAACATGCCAATTTCTGTACAACTGACTCATGATTTTGTGGTTACAATACATATTACAAATAAAGCTTTTTCATTTCTTACCAAGAATGTTCTTTTTTATTTTTTATAATCTCTAATCTTTCACTGCTGCAGGTGACACACACACACACACACACACACACACACACACAACAAACCACACCATTAAATTGAAGTAGACCTACAGTTTTAAATCTGTTTTTTGTTCCAGCCAAGCTTAGGGTTGGATAAGTTGTGGTATTTTCCTAACTCATATAAACCAGAAAAGTAAATGGGAATATCACTCTTTTTCTTTATCTCCAATACTCTAAAAAGCTAGTTTATCCCATTTAGTTTATACAGCACCCATAATCTGAATCTATCTTTACTCATTATTATTTTGCTTCTCCTGATTAATAATTTTTATATGGAACATTGTTAAAATACAAAGATTGAAAAAATCACTTAGCATTTGTTTACCAAATTATTTATGCCAAAAATGAACTAAATATAATATGAAAAAAGCACCATATACACAGTTCCAGCCAATCATTGTGAAATGTTTTTACTAAGACAAAACATTCAACCTCTTGGTTTTAACCCTTTTGCAATGGGAGCCCCTTTACATGCTTTTCTTTGCAATTCACTGTGTTACATTCAAAATTTAATTAAACACCTTTACCGTTGATGTATGTGAATGAAATTAATATTAAAATGTATGTTATGACTTGAAGTTTTATTTTACCTAAGTTTTAAGTTCTTTATTTTAAAATAAACCTTTTAAAAAACTACTTAAAACTTCAGGTATATTGTCATGTGACCAGCAAGCTATGAAAATACTCTACTTTGGCTCCTGTATCTTCAATCAGAGATGAAAGTGTCCCTTCCCTAAAAATCCTGAAAATAATCGAAGCCAAGTAAA